ATAACAGTATAAATCACTTTTTTTAGGTCATTTCTTCCTTTTTAGATTTTTTTTTAATTTTTAAACCCTTTTTTTAAATATTTTCAATGATGTTTATCACTTTAAAAGAATTTCGCTTAACTAATTTTTAAATTTTTTTTTTATATAATTTAGTGTAAAATTTGCATTGAAGCTTGATATTTTAAATTTCCTCCAATAACGAATGTTAACATTAAACAGAGTTTTCCAATAGTATGATAATTTGCAGGCAATCCTTCAATTTTAAGAATATAAAAAATGATTTGATAATACAATGCAATTCTGATGTTTTTCAAGATTGTAAAAAAAAAAAAAAAAAAAAAAAAAAAAAAAAAAANATATATATATATATATATATTTTTATTTATCTTCATCAGATATTTGTGTACATTCTACTTAATTCATGAATTGCATATTTATTTAAATTACTTGCCTATTTTTTATTTAATTTGTAAATACAAGTCCCGATTTATAATTTTATTTAAAAGTTTATCTTGATGATTTCGAAAGTATTTAAGGGTATAGTTTTTTCTATTTAAGCCCATTTTGAGGTCCTTTTTTAAAGACCTCTTTTGCCTCTTTTTAAGATTTCTTTACGTTATCAACATCCTAGCCCAGATAATAATTATTTCATAATATTTTTATTTTTATTTTTTTAGCAACAAAGGAATGGATATAAATTTATTAACTGCTGCATACATCAATGCTGTAAAGTCAGAATTGGAAATATTTCCTCGTCTCCGACTCAGAAAATTGAAATAAAGTTAGTTTTAAATAAAATTAAAGGAGTTTGTTGTGATTTTATGAAATTTATTTTTTTTCCAATGCCCACCTGGAGAATGACCTTTCGTCATACAAGCATCTGAAGGGCAGATTTGTTGAGATAGGGCAACGTTGCTTCCACAGTAAGGACAGATAGTAGAGAGAATGAAAGAACATCCATGCCTTGCCCGGTATTTGAGCCCAGAACCTTTCTGATGCAATCTATAAGGATAAATATTTATGATTATGAATTGCCAGCAAAAGAGTGAACTGGAAAAATTTTCTAAAGAAGAGCAAGGGTCACCCTGGACTGTCGTGACAGTTTATTATATTTAATTTTTTTTTTGAATTTGTGTTTGATTGAACCATTCAGAAGTAGCGTAAAATATTAAAAATTACTATAAATTATCGAAAGTTCCGCAGTGGACTGATATCATTAAGACACGATTCCCAGCAGATCACCGAAGTCAAACATCACTGGCTGCGGTCAGTGTGCGGAAGGGTGATTACTTGAATCAGTTTGCGTAGGGACCGAGGGTGTGCGGTATTGGTCCTCGTTAAACTGCTCTACCGTAAAGTACTCGACTTCGCGTGCTGGTCGTCGGGCTACCGAAGCGAAGGTGCCATCCCCTCTGCAGAGGATCAAAATTGTGATGGCATGTGTTTGGATCAACCTCAGGGATGTTTCCCAGACCGTCGCCAATAGCCCATTGTGCAGCTCTAGTGCAACGTAGATGAACAACAACAACAAATTATCGAAAAATCCATATTCATAAATAAATTACCTTATGTTTCATAAATTCTAAAATGAAATTCATTTACCTACTTTGCCAAAAAAATCATGAGTAGATCGGCTGTAAAGGTGGTACGTGCCAAGAGCTCCACATTCCTAGGTTGCAAGTGAACCAGCGCCGGTGATATTTGAAAAAATATTTTAATTATTTTAAAAAAATTAAATTCGCTCAAAAATTTATTTTTTGTATTGAAAACTCAAAAACCTTGTTTATTTTTTTGTTACGTAAATGGTATAGAATGGAAGGTGATAGTTTCCATATTTTTTAAGTTCCCACAAAAAAAGTGAAAAAAGCCTTTTACTAAATTAAAATTTGGAAAATACAAATTTTTTTTTAAATATTTCAAATTGATTACCTAAGAAAGGTCTATAAAGACGAAAATTTTCACTTCAAAGGGCCAATAAAGTGGTTTACATAAAATATAACTTAATATGTAATTTATTTCAAATTTTTCTTTTATTAAGTTGTTCATTTTTGGAAATAAAATTCGAAAAAGAAAAAACACATTTATTTGAGTTCCTGATTCATTTTCCAAGGGGCACCGCAAAATGATTTACTTAGAGTTCGCAAAGTTAAGCAACGGTTCGGTTCATGTATAAGTAATTTTTCTAATAAATAAATAAATAAATAAAAATAAAGAAAGAAAGAAAGAAAGAAAAGAAATTCACAATATGATAATGCATCAATAAAAATTATGATTCAAAAAAATAAAATTTTCTTTTCTAAATTTTCACCAGTGAATCTCTAACTTATTCAGGCTGAACTTTTTACCTCTGAAGACTATACATTATTCTCTTGTTCTGAAAAAATCATCTGATAATTTCGAGGTGTTAAAATTGATGACTTTCTAACTAGAGTATTGAAGACTGGTGGAGGTGTGTCTCTATTTTTGTTTATTTTTTTCATTTTCTTACTCCAATTAGTTTATTTTAGTTATTATGAAACATAACAACTTGGTCTAAAAATCTTACATTAAGTATTGTTGGGTTCTTCTAAATGCTTAAGTGAGAAACGCAAAATATCTGTTACAACTTGTTCACCACTCCGAGGGTGAATTTTCTATTCATTCATTATTTATTCATAATTTTCCATTTATTCAATTTCATTTATTCATTATTCCATTTATCCATCAACAGTATGCAAAAAAAAAAAAAAAAANAAAAAAAAAAAAAAAAAAGCGAACATTTTAATAACTTTTGATCTAATAATATGTATTCACATTCTAAGACTCCAAGCTAGGGAACCCAACCTTAAATATGCTATTTAATTTGTGCACTTGATGCTCCACGAAATCAGACAGAAAAAAAGTACTTTCTTTGAATAAAATTACCATTTTTTTCGACGGACAGATTTTTGACTCTGAAAATATGAGGGATAGATGTAATAATAATTATCCCAATAGTTAAGGTCAGAAGGTGTTTGTTAGTTTATACCACTTATTGTTAATTTCACTTTTTGCTCATTTCGTCATCTCAAAGCAGTCGTATTTTTAAATTTCAAATTCTCAAGAACTGTTTGATTGATTTGCTTCAAAGTTTGAATTCTGTCTTTTAAGAAAACACCGATTATTTTGGTGTTAAAATTTGTATACCTTACAATTCAAAAAGTATTTCGACCAATAGCAAAATAAATAACAGCTAATGATCAATAATAATGAACAATAGATTTTTACTTAATTTATTGTAGTTTGATAAGCAAGTTTAATTATTGTGTGCGAAAATATTTTGATTCACTGCATTAGTTCTCAAAATACGACGAAGTACACAAAAAGTATTCACAGTATTGCGTAATACACGTTAAGAAGTACAATTGTATGGTTTAACTGAGTACCATATTATGGTTGCAGCGAATTTGAGCTATAATATGGTTCAACATGCACCCCACTTTCACAGAGCCGAACTTTCTTTAATTATATCATCGTAAATATAAGTACTCAAAATACTCAACAAATTAATATCTTACAACATTTATCGTATGTCTTAAAAACTATATTGTTCCTTAGAAATTTTTGAAACTATTTGATTGGCATTTTGTATTTAAAAGAAACTTAGCCTGTCAAATTTTTTCAACGTACCGTTTAAAATTTAAATAGAAATAGAATTAAATGAAAATTTAAATAGAATCGCCATCATCTTACGTTCTCATAAAAGGACTGTGTTCTAACACTTTTCTTATGCATGCAATTGAAGCTTGTACTAAATATTGAAAGTTATAAGACAGTTTTAACACTTTATAAGATCGTGGGGAGTATACTTCCCACCTAATTTATTAATTTTTAAATATGACTGGGAAGCCATTTTTCCACTTAAGTCCATTGTGATGCCGTCCATTAATAACTTCAAAAAATAGAAAAACATTTCAATGAAGAGGGCTTTGTTTTCATAAATGTGGGTAACAGTAAAGGTTTGCGTTGGGCCAAGAAGAGAGGTTGACTTTAGGGAGCTATTTTCTTTGGTGCGTTATACATTCGGGCATTTGATCTTTTCTCATCAATTTTATTTTCATTTATAAACGCAGAATTCATAAATTCGGTTATTTATAAAAACAAAAGTTTAAGTTTATGGTGAATTCTACACAGTAGGTAAAATTTTGAAAAGTCATCACACACCTTTCCACTAAAAAAAATTGTTTTAAAAATCTAATTAATTTTAAAAAATAAGCTGAATGAATTTCTTTTTATAAATCCATCTCAATTCCAAATTTTTTTTTAGTAAAACTAGAAAAGAGTGGCCGTATAAAGGCAAAATAAGAGAATTGAAATTGACAAAAGAATTGAAAACTAGTTTCAAAAACAACATTCTAAAACATGCGTAAAAAAATCGCGTAATTTCTACTAAAATCTGCTCACAATTTCCTGATTTTCAGATTTCTATGATTGGTGTGTGCCAAACAATCTATTAGTTTAGGTCTAAATAATTGAACTAGACTTAACGAAATTAAAAATAAATAAAAAATCTGAAAAAAAAAAAACCCCGTTGTTCAATAGAATATTTTATGGAAAGAAAATATTTAAAGGCATAACATTAATGGATGGTTTTATGTACATGAATATTTTTCATCCATCATATTAATAACAATTCAAATATTCAGCTTATTTATTCAAAATCAATTATGTGAAAAATAAATGATCTTGCAGAAGAAGTTTAATTTATATTTGTCTTAAAGTTACATTATACTGCTTATCATGCCTTAAATCAGATGTTCTTAGTAACATAATTGCTTATCAGGCACGATATGTGATGTACAAAGGAAAAAAAATGGAGAGAAAAAAAAACTAACAGCACTTCGAAATGAAACAATTATCTCAAGTGGAACACGCTTCCGCTGCTTCCACCCTGATACAATATTTCTGATAACACCAGGTAAGATAATAGTTCGGCTTTTCCGAATACTCTTTTGGCGAGAAGGAAAACTAACATTGGCGACTGAGTAGTTCTGAAGTAAGAGCTTTACAACCCTAAGCCACGGTTTACAATCAGTCGAAAGCAAATCTTCGTTGTGAATGGGAGAGTTGAGCGCTCTCCATCTTTCCCGGTTATCGTCTGCTAGTGTCAACCGTTCTGTGGGAGCTGTATTGTTTAGTGTTCGGGGATTTTCCTTCCATCAGTTTCTAAAAAATATTTGAATTTTTTTTTTCGTTACTTGAAATACTGTACTTGGATTAAACACTATCATCAAATTTGTTTTAATTTTTTTTTCTCATGAGAATTATTGAATTGAAAATACTATAGTTATTTAAAAAAACAGATACAATATTTGTGTGAAAATTTTCCCTCATCAGGTGTTTTAGCTAGAAAGTGACATTATACATTGGAATAAATATTATATTGTTTTGGCAACATTGAAATAAAATATTCAGACAAAAATCGTCTGAAATTCAGGAAAATTTGAATCATCGTCTGTTTTTTAAGAAAGCCTGAAAATATCGTCTGATTATTCACAAAATCTGAAACATCTCTCCGACAAACGGAAAACTGCTTGTTAAAATTTTCAGCAGAGGAAATTTTTGCAAAAACCAATAAATGAAAGAATCAAAAATGAAACGACGGTTTGATCCGATATACACCTTACATCAAACGTGAGGCTGTAAAAGTAACTACAAAACTCAAATCTGATTTCGAGTTCTTTACGTTTATTCATTTCTAGTTCGGAAAAAAAAAAGTTTTTTGACTGCATTCAGCAGCGAACACCCGTCAATCAATCAAAATTTATTGAGTAAGAATGGTTGCATCTGTCACAACAGAGATTATTGTGAACAAGAAGTAAATATTATAAAGATTTAAAAAGATTTTTACTCTGCTTAAGCCTAACAGTTTTTGTGTATAAAAAAAAAAGATCATTTTTTTATCAACGATGAACTGGATGATTTTCGTGGTGTTTTTATTGGGGTACAGCATGGGGGAGGAATCCCGCCTCTCAGTCTGTCCTCAAGTGTGTGATTGCAAAGGATTGACCGTGGACTGTGGAAACCGACAATTGAAATCTGTTCCCAGGCCTTTACCAAAAGAAGCTAAAAGGATGTAAGTACCTTTTTTTTTTACTTTGTTACCTAATTTTTTCAATTTTTTAGAAAATATACTAACTCTTATAGTTTAAATAAACAGCATCAGTGAGCAATTTGAATATTCTAAGGGACAGCGAATTTAGATTAAAATGCAAACAATGATTTAAAACAAATTTTTTTTTTAACAATGTACACTGTTATGCATATTTTGATTTAACAGGGAAAATTTCACACTAAATTTGATTGACTTAAAGATAATTTAAGTTTAATAATTCGATCAAATTAATTAGATAATTAGATCAAACTTTATTATTGGTTTCACTAAATATGTTTAATTATTTATCTACTTTTCCGCATTATATTTTATTATGAGGATCAACAAGTTTCGTCATTGACTCATATTCACGTTCTATTTGTTTTTATATACACAGAAAATACCATTAGTACCCAATATCATATTTGATTTAAAAAAAAGTCTGATTTTTTAAACTCTAATCAAGTTAAAAATTTATAAGCAATTATTGTAATTGCATAATTGGATTATTAAAGAAATTGCGATTTGTTCGATAGAATATAGACATTAATCAGCAATTTGTGAAAAGTTAAATGCCTTTGAGAGAAATTCTGAATTATTTAAATTAAATTAAAGAAAAATTCTCGATAGATAATAAGGAAGAAATGTTTTTGACGCTAATTAATTTTTATCGCCAAGAGTTCTAAATTATTAATTTCAGTATAAAAAAAAAATCGTTTTTAAAGTATTATTAACTCCAACTTCGCATATGTAGTTGAAAAAATACAAATTATTTGCATAATATTTGAACTTCAAGTCAAGTGCAATTGAACGGGTATTCGTTTTATTAAATTCATTCAGAAATTAAGATTATTCATTTATAAATGTCGAGATTTTATTCTAAATATTGACCGCTAACGTGAATTTTCTGTTACCATGAATCAACTTCGTGCTTGAAAACATATTGAAATTGAATAATATAATTCTTTAAGGGATATATTGTTATAACAGTTTTTGAAGTATGCATATAGTTAAATAAAATATAATTTTTGTAAACTTACTTACCCCCTCAAAAAAAAAAAATTTTTTTTTTTTGATCAGAGAAAAATGAAATATTTGATGTAAAATCTCGAAAAGACATATGTATTGTAGTTAAAAACTGGTTAAGATATAACAGTAAAATCACCAGTTTATTAAACAGTGTCATCTCATAAATAATCAGCAATTTTTGAAGTTTCTTATTAAATCTAAATAAAATCTTTTTTTTGTAAACTAGTAAACACATAGTTAAATTAACACGTATCTTAGAACAAGGTTTTTCGTAAAATAAAAGCATACTTCTTGTATATTACTTCTAAGAAAAGGTTCTTCAATAATATTGGAATAGAAACTTATTTTTTTCTGTTGTTCGGTGATCAGACAAAAATCACGAACTTATAAGCTGTTTTTCAAATATGCTATTCACAAAATATCTCAACGATCGTTCAGATCTGCTTAACGTATCCGTGCTCTTACGTATCCTTGAGACTACTTGCACGTTCAACTGTCATTTATGTCTGTTCATTGAAATACAAAATCATAATAAAAAGGTTTCAACTCTAAAATGGCTGAAAACCTTGTTTTTCATCAAAGAACACGAATAAATAATTTCACAAAAATTACTTTTTTTTTAACTTTACGGAAAAACTTTTAATTTTTAAGATATGATCAAACGAAATAGTTATTATTAATGTTTTGTGCTATTGCATATCAAAGTTTTAAAATTAACCTTGAATCTCTCCTTGTGTTTATCAGATCTACCACGAACGATATTTTCTGATCTATGTTGTGTCTGAACCTTTTGTCTGTTCCTTTATAATTTCACTAAATATAGTATAAAAACCCACTTGAGTTGCTCCATCAAGCGTTTTTTGCCGTGCAAACGCACTGTTGAGCAAAGGAGTCTGGCAAACGCACTTGTTGGAGAAATAGGCTATAGGGCTAATCCTCAATGCTTCATAAAAAATGAAAATAATTTCATAGCCTCAAAATAAGGGTTTTTTTTCTTAAAAAAAAAGACTAGAAAATAAAGATTTATCTCTTGCTATGCCAGCATCGAATTGCTAATGTTTCCTCCAATGTAACAACGGAATAGCAAAAGTGTATCGAAAAACATATTTTTTGTTCGTTAAAAACACGAGAATCCCATGAAAATCATCTTTCCAACTTTGATGTGTTATTACATCTAACCTAAACATTTTCTATTATTTTCAATATTATAGATAAAATTACTCTTTTTTGTCAGAAGTTTACACAGATTTCGGAAATTAACAAAATGTAATTAAATTGACAATTATGCATTTTTATTGTTAAGTGAAAGGAAATTTTTATCGATAGAATCGAACGATAATGTTTCGAACATTAGTTATTTAAGCATGTAGACTTTTTTTACGCTTTTAAATAAATAATTTTTCTTTATCACGAAGTTGAAGAAAATTATTGCATTGTTAATGACTTCATCTTTTATTTTTTGGAAAGAGATGACTTTCACGGTTAGGGTCACCGGATGGTCGCGCCGTAGTTAGCCGTGACCGATACGATACGATGAAAATCAGCGTGATAAAAAGAATCAATTTTTATTTTCGCCGCTTTTTAATTTATGATTCTTAATTTTAATACATATTGATACAAATTATGTATTGCATATAACTTCAATTCATATATTGTAAAAAAATACAAAATATATATTGTAAATAACTTCAATTTTACATTTTTAAATGAAATCTCAAGATAGTATTAAAAATATTCGGAGCATACAGACATATGTTTGACTTAAACCTGTTAAAGAACAACATGTTTAAGTTCATAGTAAAAAAATGTTGTTAAATTGATATAGTTGTATTTTGCTTAGCGACATTTTCAAGTTAAGATAATGGGTCTAAAATAGGCATTTTTAAAATCCTTTTTTCCCCCAGAAATTATTGAAAGATTTCAGTCCCCCGCGAAGGTCCCAATGCTTGACCCAGGTGGTTTCTTGTCGTCCGGGTTAGGCTCAGAATTACAAGACTAAGGTGTTGAACAATGATAGTCGCAAATTTCCCATAATGTGTTGGCTGTTTAAAGCCGTTTCTGAAATGAAATTAATAGTTATTACAGTATAATGTTATAAATTTTGGAGTGTATTGACCCATAATATAACCAAACGCCGAGTGACGAGATCGCAAAATTTGGCCGTTTTCCAACGTATATATCGGACTAGGACGAACTCCGGCTCTCAGTTATCCTATGTATCACGAACTCTGATTAAAATTCTTTGGGCTCGGACCCCCAAAAGCTCATTTCTAGATGAACTCACTGATCTATAATGAGAAGTCTACGTGTAGTTTGACAATTTCAACTGACTAAATAATTTTTGAAAAAAAAAATTATTATACATTATTTGCATAGTAAAGTTTGAGTTATATCTTACAAAGATGCGTATTTTCGAAGCTTTCATTTTAAAAATTGCAGTTCGAAAATTGTAGCAACAGCAGTAAACTATTGCACTAAAAAAAGTATAATATTTATCTTATCTTACGGCAGGATGAGGATTCTTATCACACTTATTTGCTTTTGATCATTCTATTCAAGGCAAAAAGCAAACGATAAAAAAAAATGTAAATAAATAAAACTATCGTCTTGTGTTGAGGGGAAATGGCATTCATTCTTAACACTCCGGCAGTCGCGCGTTATCTGTCAGATGCAGGTAGGCTGCGAATTACGGGTTTCCGCTTTTACTACGACACTACGGAAAACTCTAAAAGCATTTAATTTTACGATTTATTCTAATAACCCTTATTTTTAAATATTATTTTTTTGTTTTCAAATCGAGAACAATCTTTCAATTTCATTTTTTTTTTCGTGATACCCAGACAACATTTGTCTTATTATATTTCTCATGGGCTGCAATGACGGCACAACTCAAAAAATCAAGTTTTGAGATAAGTAGATTTAAAGTTTCATTGCTAAGCAAAATGCATAATAAATGCTTTAGTTAGTTTAAACGAAGATTACCTTCAAGTTGAATTATGAGTTGTGCTAGTATTGCTGCTGAAAGATAATGTATTTTCATATTTACACCTGTTCTTAGTCCAAAACGCATGTTTTTTGAGTTGTGCCGCTATTGCAGCCTATGAGCGATATATTTATCTACATTATTAGTTTATTTTATTTACAAAATTTTTTTTTGTTGGGTTACTAAATTTAAAGCAATTTTTTAGATTCTAATAAACTGTAAGCCACGAAGTATGCAGTCAAATGCTATATGTATCATTTATTTATTCCATTTAAGAAACAAAAGAGCTTATTTAAAACTTACATTGCAGTCATCAGAATAAAAAAAAAATTCCGAAAAACTGAAACTAAAAATTAAGGAATGTTTCTTTTTTTTAACGGTATATAAAAACTTCTAAACGTTATAATACGATCGTCATAAAAATTCTTTCTTGTATCTTTTAAAAATAAAATAAACGAAATTGTGGCCTTAGATTGCCATACCAGCGACTCTTGTATTAGTATCATTTTATTATCTGTCTCATTTTTTACTCATTTAACCATAATCACTTAATACTTATCACAATTTTTTAAAGAACACTTCATAACAAGGTGTCTGCAGCAGCATATTTCACCAATTCAACCCTAGATGACTGATAATTCGTCAAATTTTATATCGACTTTTATCAGTTTTGCGGAAGTCTGGCTGCTCTAACACTTTAACATCTTCAAATATGATTTTTATCATTTACATATACTATCCTAAACTACGCTTTTTTTTATCTAAGCAAAATAACTTGATTTAATTTTATAGTTCATGAACAGATTGATTAGTTTCCCTGATTTATGTAAGATTTAATAAATTGAATTTTAAACAGCTCATTGAGGCTAAAAAATAAATCCCTAGGGCCAAAGTAACTGACTAAGGGATACATATGCAAAGTCGTAACAGTCGCATAAAGCTCATAACACTCTTTCAACGTTTAAATTTT